CACATAGTATCCCTCGATTATCACATACAAATGTTGACCCAGATCTCGTTCTCTTTCTGTTCTATATATTTTTCTTCTGTCATCTCTCGTTCAGATGTTTATACAGATGTTGTTTGTCATCGTCTTTTCTTGACCTACTTAGCGTATTTTATTACAGTTGTTCGATATTTCACAGTTACATAAGAGAATGGATATATCGTCTTTTTTCTTTGTTTTCAGTTTAACTAAGGAGAAGAAGATTCACAAATTATTTCTTGTTTTCGCCTGTACCTATCTCTATATAAATACTTCGTTTCTTCAATGAACTAAGCTTATTTTTCGATTGTAAATCCGTTACTACTGATTTTGTATCAAAATGGCAACGACAATGACAGATATTGAAATACCATCTTATGTTTCTGATGAAGAGATGGATATAGAGAAAGCGGTATGTGATGGAAAGAAGAAAAAAAGACAAAGAAATTGGGTGAAGGAGGTCGTGTTCAACAACGACAAAGAAGCTGAACAAGCGATCAACGAAGAAAATCAGTGGAATCACCACTATACGAATACAACAGATGAAGGGAAAAAGAAGTATTTTAGATGCAATAAGGTGAAACTTCGTGGAACACAATGTGATGCTTGCATTTATTTGTTATTTGACTCCACTAGCGATGAAGTTGTTTTGTTTCGTGATGAGTCTAACCATATTCACGATATGATACAAGGAAAAAATTCAAGAATATCAACAGAAGTGAAACAAGCGATACAAGAATTATTTGAATTGAAACTGAAACCTAAAGCAATAATCGGAGTAAAAAGTTTGGTCCAACTGCAATTATGGTTGTGTTGGTTATGGTTATGTGTATGGTTATGTGTTGGGCTCATATGCGTAGAAACGTTGTTAAAAAAATAGAAGCAATGGTGGAGAAGTTAGAACAAGAAGATTTGGTGAACGATATAGACATGCAACTGGCACAAAGAGAACGAATGTTTAGCAAAGCCTCTAGTTTATTTCTTAAAAAGTGGACAAAAAAGCAGCCGGCATTTATAGAATATTTTCGAAGCAAGTGGTTAACGTCACACAATACATGGTATGAAGGTGTACGACATTTCACACCAAGCACAAATAATGTCTTTATGGCGATTTAAAGTATTAACACTCGAAATTGTTGAAAAATGGTCAAAGTCGTATGAAAGAGGTTTAAAACAGTTTAGTAAAAAGCAGACGGTGACATTGGATTTATGGACAAATGCATACCAATGGACTACATCAAACAGGTCGATTCTTTGGCCTGAACTTGATGATACAATTGAATATTATTATTCCTTTGATCAATATAAAATTAAAGCATTCAATGTTTGGTGTGTCACATTACCAGTAGACAAATTAAGATGGCTAAATGGTCTTTGTGACTGTCCCGTATTTTTTAAGAAATTTATGTGTAAACATGTTGTTGGCATGGCAATCAGATTGAACTACTGCAGACCACCACCTGCTGCCAAAGATATTCCACCTGATGAGAAACGACGTCGAGGTAGACCATCAAAAGCGAAGAAAGCGTTACTGATTCAATAGAATTTTCCTAACTATCATTCTACTTTTTTCACTGGTAAAAATTTATTAAAAACTGAACAAAAATAAATTAAATACTAATCATTTTCAAATAAAATACTGATTCTTTTTGAATTAAATACTGAATTTTTGTAGTTAGTTACTGTGCAAAAATGAATTTTCTACTGATTAAAAACAACTGATCATTGAAGAAAATATACTGGCATTCACTATACAATACTGATCACTAAAATACAAGCCATAACCAATCAGTTGTGTTGAATCCGAATATCCTGTTTGTTTTAAAACAAAATCAACTTTTGATAGTCAAAACGTCGAAATACAGAATAAAAAGAGAAAAAGATTAGTTTACTTAGCTACCAAAATACAAGCGCGCTAGAAAAATCAAATGAAGTAAATGCAGAAATAAAAATACACTTTCCGACGTAAGAAAAGAAGAAGAAGACAAATAACCAATGCATATACGACGAAACGACATTCAAATACACAAATCTGCCTTTACATCAAACAAAACAGGTACATCTCTAGTCTTCACAAACAAATCAGTTTTCCACAATTCACAACAGTGAACCACCAAAGATTCATCACCATGCACACACACTTTCTAAACTGCTGCCTATCTACCGTCCTATACAACTCCACCATCCAGGCCGTGACTAAGATCCTAACTCACCAAGGGGTATTGAAGGAACTATACAGCTTGTCCAAACGTGACGAAATTACATTTTTGACGCACAAAACTCTAGTTTTTTCGCGAAGCACACGAGCTAGAAAGTTGATTCTAGCGTCATTCGACGCAGCTTTTCCAATTCCAGCTATGGTAAAAAAAATTAAGTCTCTCAGAATTAATGTCAAGGTTCCAGAGCAATTTTACGGAGTGTGACGAAATTACAAAAAAAGAACGCAAATTTTTAGTTTTACTGGTAAAACTGTAATTTCTTGCGAAGTTAAGGATCCAATCTGTATCATCCTAAAAAACACTTTCTAGAGCGCCTCTCAGGCTATCGACTGGTAAAAAATGTTTTTTGCAAAACGCTTCTCCAGACGAATAAAATGCTTATTTTATTTCGTGACGAAATTACACACTTTTTCAGTTCTATGCATTTTTGCATTATTATGCATAAAACTCAACTAAATCCAACTACAATGAGTACGAAAAACCTTTTTTACCGCTTACAAAGCCGGCAAACATTTCTGTTTTGCTCATGCGCTTCCTCAGAGTCTAATCGCCATTGGCTTTATCTTTTAGGACTCTCTTTCCATTTATTTTGACTTAATTCAACTTTTTTGGAGGCTCTTGGCCACGAATATCGAGAACATGCAATCTCAGATACCGTGTTTCTCCAGCTCGGGACGAAGATCCGGCCTCCTTTGAGCTGGGTAATTTTTTTATAGTAACATTTAAAAAGGTTCAATGTAAGAGTTATCTTTTTTTGCGTTTTTTTTCTTCTTTTTTTCCTTTCTGCCTAATCAGAAATCCTGACAAGAGAACATCTTTAGCTTTTTATCAGCTGCTAACACACTCACACACCTAAAATAAAACAAAGGTAAGAAAACAAGTGAAATATATGTACAAACAAGTGTGATAAAAAAAATTGTTCTAGAGCAATTACTACTGCTCCCAAGTATACTGTCAATATTTATTAGTTGTTTTTTGTGGAACTTAAAGAGTAATAACGTGTTTCAATGGAGTTTCTGTCAATCACTTTTATTAAATGAGTTTTAAGAGTTTCAGAAACTTGTTTCGTAGCTTTAAAGATATTTTCAAGTTTGAGTTTTGAGTTATCAATTTTTTTTTTGTGATTTCCATGAGAATTATCGAATTGCTTTTTTTCTTTGCAATGCGAACGAAATCGGCAGCAGAACGACAAGCTTCACTTCCAAGCCCAGCAGACCAAACTACTCGTTTCACAACTCCTCCAATCGCATCAACCGTGCCTTTCCCATGACTAGTGGCAAAAAAACACCAATTCATACTAATTTTATATTCTAAAGCAAGCTGAACTAAATTTCGAAAATGATAACGCTGTTTAAACTGAGACGCTGCTCCATCACTGAAAAAGTTAATTTCTTTCAAATTTGGAAGTAGAGTTTTCAAACGATTTAAAATTAATTCCAGATCTGAATTCACAACGAATTTATCGTGACTAACATCTAACGAGGGTAGAGCAAAACCAAATCCTCCACTTTTGGACCAAACATAACCTGTAAATATACTCATTGTTTTTGTGTATCAATGTGCGCACTGAACTTCATCTTGCTCCTTCATTCCATAATTTTCGGCGAAATCAACTTGACACACAACTTTTTCATCGGTCACTTCAGCCTTAAGTTTTTCAAAATATTTCGACTGTTCTCTCTTAACAAACACATGAAATTTAAAATG